AGTTTATTACACCAGTTCACCAGTACACATTAGTATGACCGACTCATTCGGAACTTTATAAGGGAACGTGGTATAAATGTATAAAAAGCTTTGGCCATTTAATATCTGCCTCGTAACGGGAGCTTTTTAGTGGGGTTGATTTTTTTTACTTTTCTTAGAGTTGCGCAGTTTTAGGTATTGCGTATAAGAGAGTATGCGTATACGTGCCTAAAACTGCCCAATCCGAATCAATGAATCTGCAATATTAAAAGGCCGTCGCCTTGATTAACGTAATTCGTGCATTTAAACGAATCAAATTGGCTAATAATAATCAAAGATGGCCGATTTCATTAATAAAGCCCTATTTTGGGCAGTGATCGAATCAGAAAAGCAAGTAAGGGAGAAAGAAAGTAGAGAGATTTTTCCATTAGCGATCGATCGGGAATCCTACGTTTTTCTAGATCGCGAGATCAATTTTTAGCAGGTATTCGAAATCGCGAATCGCTGGTATAGGCCGCCGAGAGAATTAAGGTGATTTTCTGGGATTACGTGAATTTTATGCTTACGCAGGAAGAACGTTAGTGCGCATTACGTGATTATAAATCGACCAAGTCACTAAAATCGCGTTGCGGCGAGAAACTATCAATGCTCATAATAATAAACTGTGTAATAGTCCCGTCGACAGGTTGGGAAAAGAAGTGTTAGGTGGGAACAGGTCGAAAGTTAATTAAATTTTGGGATGTTGTTTATGAATAGGTAGTTATTTAACTTTTTGTCAAGTTTTCGACTTCGAGGACCCTGTCCTACGGCAAAAGCTTTTCTACACTTTTAACTATTCAAACATATTTTTATGTAAATTCGTTACCGAAAGATGGCGCTTCGAAGGAACGTAATTTTTCAAAATTCGCTAAAAATGCGATCCGCTAATTATGGGTCTTGGTTGCAATCACCAACTTTGAAGCCCCTGTCCGATCTTCATGTCAATCGATTTAAAAAAGAACGGATGGACCGATTACGATGAAATTTTTCAGGTGGATTGTCTATCAAATTTGTAGATCTGAGTTCGTGAATTGCCAATGTAGGTCAAAAGTAAGGTAGGTTCTTTTGGCTAGGCGTAGCTTTAGCGATGTAATACGCAATGCCAAACATTGAGTCTAATCGATTCACAGTGCTTTTTTGTCACCTAGGCCATTTATAAACCGAATTGCATGAAATTCAAACTGGGCATAGCCAGTACCATACCAAATGTAATGTTACCTTTGGCTTTGGTATTTTTGATTATGCATCGCCAGGCTGACTCGTGCATGTTTTTGTGTTAGCATATTCAAATGATGTCTTTATGCCAAAACAAGCCTCGTCAGGGTGCGGGCCTCCGCCAACAACTCGATCCTAACCAAGATGCCGCGGCGGGCGGCATCCATTGAATCTAATGTTCTTCGGTTCTCAAGATGGCTGCAATAAAAGAGCTCTGTAACGAGAGAGGTCAGCTTCCAGGCTTTTTTCGTGGAAAAAATAATGTATAATTAAAAATCATAAGTCGTTCACAAGACATTATTACAAAAATGTACTCATAACACATATTCGTTTGAGATCGCTACATTTCGTCAATGACGTCGTCGTATTCGTCCTCCTCGTTCAAATCAGTGGGGGGGGGGTCGTTTTCGCAGTAGTGGCCTGTGCAGTGCTTACACATTGCTGAGAACCGGAGACCCGCTTTCTTGTAGCTGCAAGCTCCGTTGCTGCACTTGCAAGACAATTTGGAGGATGTCATCCGGTGCATCATTTCTAGTTGTGGGGATTGATTCTGCCCCTCGCATGATCATGCTCCAGCCCTAAACTGATGGTAGAAGTTCTTTGCCTAACCACGCCTATACTCGCTGGTAAACGCGGAGGAAGTGGTATTTGGCGACGTCTCTTGTTGCTGGTACTTTTGATGCTACTCAGTAAGTTAGTGTTTAAATTGGGGAACTGGCTGATGCAGGTCAAAAATTTTGCAGTCGAGGTCGAAATGGTTAAATAGCCACCCATCAACAATATCAAAATTTCAATCCGTCCGAATTTTTACAATTGTAACAAACTGTAAAAATCTAAGATGGCATCTCAACCCAGAACCAGTTGCTCAGTGTGCATAGAAGGATGATTTTATTCAGGAGATTACGCATTTAAAAATCCGCTTAGATCGCTTTGGTGTGCAATTAATATTCTCCCAATCCACTTGCAGATCGGATTAAGCGGGGGCAGTTTCCATTTCCTAATCCTAATTAGATGCCAAACCAGTACTTCTAAGGTTGGACGACTAGATGGTAGTGTAGATATCTTTAAATAAGGTAATGTGTATTTTTATATTCAATGGAATTGTGATTTTTAGTAATTAAATTTTGAGTTGTTTGCACCGTAAAATTAGAGATATTCTTCAATGATTCCATCTCATTATTTTGTATCTGTTTCATATTGTAAAAGCAGAATTTTTCCACTGTAAATAAAATTTGTGTAGGAACTCGGTTAGGAGGAGTTTTCTCAGTTTAATATTAAATAACGAAAGTTTTCTAACTGGGTCAAATATGTAAATTATATATTTTCATTTGTGAATAGGAAATTGATATTCAGTTTCCTTGTTTAAATTTTGGGATTCTTAGTAATAGAGAACGTGGTCACGTACTAATTTTGCAAAATTTTAGAAACTGAATTTTGTTAAGGAGTGTAAGATTTATTTGCCTGAAGGCTATAGACTGTAGAGATAGGTTTAAATCGACGACTGAAAAAAATTTCAACAGATAACCACCTTTTGATTTCTATCTATTGTTTTCGATTAACAGTTGAAGCGGAAGGGATCCCAGCACTTTTGAATCTTCAGGTAAAAAGCAGATAATTCCATTTTTATTAAGGAAATTGTAGTAAAATTGAACTATCCGTGGATACAGTTAGTGACAAAAATCTGACGTTAACGGAAATAGTCAAAACTAAATAAAACGTTCAGGTTTCCCCACCCTGAAATATAACCCCTGTTACAACCTGCATGTCGTTCGCATGTACCGCATTTACGCCTATGCTGAACTGGATAAAGCCTAGGGCAGCACAAAAGAAAAGCGACATACTAACCCCGATTGGAAAATATAAAGACTTCTAGAATTTTTGTTTATTTCGAAAGGATTTCATCAACCGTGCTACATTTATCGGCAGAAATAGCACCCCATGTTTGAACTGTGTTGCGTCTTGTCCAGACCTTTCCTTTTCTTTTGTGGATACCCTGTTCCAACCCGCTGCCCTCCAAAGTACACCATATCTCTGTTACTAGTGATATAATCAGGTCAAGAACCGTTGGATTCGTCGCGCGGGCTCGGACTCGCAGTCGCACTTTCCCTTTGCGAGTACCTACTGACTGACTTCCGACTTCGAGATATTCGCCTTTGAAGTTTTGGCGAAAAACTACTGCTAAAATTGTAGCAAATCGTTTCAGTTATTTATGCACATCCGCATAATACATCTGACTAAGGATCTAAGGAAGTTGACAAGGATTGTTGCGTACATAATTAAATCAGCTCGCATTCGGAAACACGACTTTTAATCCGCGGTTTATATTCAATAGCACTGATCGATTGGCGAAGGTTTGACATCACTGTCTCCTTTCGTTCTCCAGTTAGAATAGGAACAGGCTGACGGACGGACGGACAAAACCATCACATGAAGGTAATTTTTTCCTATTCAGATGTTTTTAAATAATTTTACTTTAATTAATGAACTGTTACGCCTGAAATGGGACAATACTATAATACAACCATTAGGTGCTTCTGTTATGACCTGAAGTAAAGGGGTGAATGTCAATTAAAAGAATTAATGAACGGAAAATTCTAACGCACTCCAGATATTAATGAACCCATTGCGCTGTCAATATTAAACCGTAACTGTAGACATAATTAAAAACAAGTGGTCGTGAAAGCATATTTCGCAATAAAAACGTTAATTTAACATGAAACTTGTCAGTCCCAGTCCTTAAAATAAAAATAATTGAGTTTCATTGTAACAATGTTATCATTCGGTATTGACTGGGATATTACAAATTGATGTCAATAACAATTACATTACCAAACCGAAATCACCGCATTACATTTAATTACAAGCAATAAAAGTGTGATTTAATTAGGTTTTTTGTGATATGGGAAACGTTAGTCGTAGATACTTTGAGATATTCGAAACCGAGCGTATGATTAGATATCAAAAATAGATCCTTCATAGTCATGCATTCAAAATTGGTTGTGTTGCAACAGTCCGTGGAAATTGGAGCATTAGATCTTTTTGGTCCGGATGAGAACTGTGAGTCAACGCAAGTTTGAAGCAGTCGCATGTCCAAGTATTATTATTATTATTATTATATATGGGAACAAAATGGAACCAAAATTTTGAACAGTAATCCGGTCTTCCTTCAGTTCCTAAATTGTGTTGAGTACCAAGCGAAATAGCTTATATATAACAATATTGCCATGCGTCTGTTTCCTACAATTATTGCATTTTTGACACATTTGTATGCTCTCACTCTAAACTATCAAATATTACGTAGATTAGTATCAGTATCCTCAATGAGAAAAATGTAAAGCATTTAGGCTCTCCCTCTTGCCCACCAAGACAATATTGTTTCCCCGTTTTCCAAACGAAATTGATACCAAAACTTGTGCACTAGTAATAACGCAACAGATTTTGGATAGTAAACTGACTACCCCAAAAAATAAATTGTATAAGCATGTCTAGCGAATATTTGAGAACATCTCGGTATCACCGATGTATACCTACTCTCAGCTTCAAATGTGCAGATCCGTCTAGGCCTAACTAGAGGAAATCCCTTATTCCTTATTCGACCATTGCAATCGTGATAAAAATGTTTTAGTTTCCCTAGTTACTCAGCTTGGTAGCTACAATATACACAGTGATTTTTTTTAAGTTTTACACCCATGTATCTAGAAAACGAAACAAGTTAGGACATACGATTATATGAAACAAATATTTTATTTTGGACTGGAAATACGGCATTAAAATCTTTGCACTTTATTTTGAATCACCGTGTATAATAACAAAGTTAGCAACGTAGTGAATGAGAATTGTGGTTTTATTTTTTATGTACTTGCGCTTATAAGTTATGTATATTTGTCTCTAGTAAATTCACTAGAAAATGTTAGTTGCCATTCACAAGGTGTTTGAAACTCCGGGGTGTAGCGACTTCCAAAAACCCTGAAATCAATCATAATTTCCAAACAAAACTAGCTATCAACTTAGAGCCATAGGAAGTAGGAGGGAAACCAATGTAACAATTACCTGCAAAATGTCAGTCTCAATAACCTATAAACTAAAACTTGTCCGTATTTACTTGTACTCACAATGTTCGACTTTATTGCCTCACGTCGAGCTGGAGAAGTTAGCGTAACAAGAATACTCGAAAGTGCCTTCCGTCTGAACTTCTTGGGAAGTGCCCTTCATTAATTTTTCCTTAAATAAACGTTCTTTGTGAAAATAAGTTGGGAATATGAGTTACAAACCAAAACATGTGACGCTAGCAACAGGCGGCAGAGCACGTGGTACATGGTCTTCTCGACAATGAAAACGCAAGTGTTGTGTCTAAGTCCAAGAGCTTTGAGTTTATATCGAGGATGAAGTAAATCCCAAATAAAAGAGAAAAAGGAACGCGTGGGATATTTTTATTAACCTTTTGGTACTATCGTGCCTAGATAATTAAATAACTTACGTTGAGTGGGCTGTTTCATCGGCGATTTTGTAACCCAGTAGATGACACAGCGTGAATTCGCCTTCCCATGACGAATTTTTATTGTCTTGTTCGACAGAGGTGAAGTTATTTCGCAGGACATCTCTCTTGTTCTGGCCCAAATCTTGACGTACATCTGTTCGAATTTCGGTAAGCATGTTTAGATTTTCTAATTATTGTTCATTGCATCTTTTTATTTTGCAGTCTTTAGAACAGTTTAAATTGTTCCTAAGAGAACTCGCCCCGAGGTGTATGTTTCCAGAAGATTGGCCCTGGGTAACTTCGTTCCCAACGAAACGTCGCCCTCAAAACCTTTATCAATATCGTCTAACACTTCCGAAAAGTAAGGACACTACCATCGATGCCACACCAGCTCTAGTAACAACTATGCTGCAGTATTACTCATACCCTGATCAAAAATAGGGGTGAAAATCAATTATAAAATTACCTCCTTAAGAATGTGTCGTCCTTCCATCCCTAGGCGAATTATTTGTGGAAGCCCTTTTTTGAAAATTAAAGCGCCACTTTGTGCCTAATCAAGAAAAGTTAATAAGCTACTGTCCTATATTGCTTTGCCTCTTGCTCACCACATTACATTTTCGTGCATTTTTTAATAAACAAATGCGCTATTGTTTACGTGTTGTTCCTCCGATATTCCATGTATCCGAAGCCACTTCTGCCGTTTTGAACGACTTTCAGGGAAACATTCCTATTATAGTCTTGAAATGTTGTACAGTACGTAGCCAGTGGCAACATCGCAATGCGCATGCAACGATCTAGGCAGTTGCCGCTAACTGCGATGCGAAAATTCGAACACCTGACAGTGACACCCTCTACCGCAGAAATGGGGTATAAAATAGCGCAAATCGGCATCAAAATTCAGTCGACTTCTGTTCACCCGTAGCGAGGCGAGGAAGACTCTCTCTGGCCCTACTGTTTAAACATAGGGTAGGACCACAACACTCGTAACGGTTTATTTTCTTCATTACAAAGCATCGAATATTTAGTTATTGAAAGATCCTCGTAACAGTAGTAACCTTGGAAAAGATTACTCCAACTATCGTTGGAATTTGAACCACGCAATTTTTGTGGCACTATGATTTGTGGTTATCGATGGTTGGCCTTCATTTTCCTTTTTCGTTTGTGAGATCTAACGGAGTTTCCTAATGTTTGGCAATTAAATTCGGTTACTTTTATTGGAGATTCCGCATTGATTCGAGGACGGATTTGCCCTTGACTCTTATATGGGGAGGATATAATTGCGTCTGTTCTGGTTTATCGTAAGCACGCCATAAGTAAATAAATAAAATATAATTTATATTAGACTGGTTCACTTTTGGAAGGTTCTCTGTTCTAGGGGCATTTCAGACAACATTTTATTTTATTTTATTTTTTATTTTATTATCCCTCTCTTGTTTTGGGCTTTTTTGTACTAATGGTAGGTACCTGCTGAACACGAATATCGATGTTGGCATCTCGAAATTTGAACAGGAAGTCCAGAATTCAAGATGGCGGCCAATTTCCGAAAATTTTGATCTTTTCACTCATGCGACCGATTTTTTCGATCTAAAAACGAATTATAATGTTATTCCTGACGTACGTCACCGGCTTATAGCTCAGTGGTAGAGCATTGGGCTATAATCCGGAGGTCGGGTGTTCGAACCTGGTTTGAGGTGAATTTTTCATCTGTGGCAGAGATCGGAATTTCCTTAGATCAGTTTCGAGCATTCTGCCGGCTACTCCAAATTAGGTTTTCCTGCAGTTTTCCTAATTCGTAAGGTAAATGCCGGAGTAGTATAAAACAACTTAAGACCTTCTGCAGGGGCACCTCTAAAAAGAATTATGCGGATCACTCTGTAATTGGGAGTAAGCCTGTTGAGGGCCTAGAACAAGAAGGACAATAAATAAATAATAATAGTTAACTATTGTTTTAACAATAATGTAATAGTTTTTTTAGCGGCAGGAAATATTGATGAATATCACTTTCTTTTAAAATATTGCTAGAACGGAACAACACTCGACAATTGATTAAATTATAATTTATTTGGGTTATTTACACCTTAAACCAAACACGGAAAATAAACCGTACTTATTTGGAAGGCTTTGAATGGTAAGAAAAAATTACAAAATATTTTTTATAAAATTCAAGTTCAATGCGCGACCGGAAGATGTTAACCGATTCCGGTTTTTTTGGTATGCTTTTTATTCTTGATTCAATAGGCAACGTTTCCGCCCTAAAGCGTTTTGAAAAAAAATATTTATTTTTTTCGACCCACCCTAATGCCTGGGTCTACATTGTAACCAACTTTAAAATCGTCTACGTGAACTATGCTTATGCCATTGAAGTAAAGCAGCGCACTCAACCAAACAGTAACGCGTTCACAATCGATCACTTATCGATCTGGGTGAAAAAATGCATTACTGACAAATTATATCCACAAGAGTTGTCTTTGGTTCGTTCCTAGGAATTTTCCAATTAATTAGTATTTTCGGGTTTTAATTCCAGTTGATCCTGTTCACGCGTTGACTTTGATTTTGCGTAACATAGACAACAAAATGACCGCCGACTGTTATGGTGAAAAAAATTGGTTGTGAGAATCCTAATTAAAGGTAGACGTAGAGTTAAGTGGAAAAAAACTCCTAATTAAAATTACGATTGAAACTGAAACCATGAAAAAAATAAGCACATATACTACCCCCTCTGTAAGTAAGGGAGGGGGGAATAATCCTGGAGCGAAATTCAGTGTACTATCAACCCACTGTATTTAGAGTAATATCTGAAACGACTTCAGATGGAATTTCATTGGTTGCTTATTGCTGTGTGTCTCCTTAGGAGAAACAAATAAAATCTCGATGATGTCGATCTGTCGGTCTGTGGGTGTGTCTGTTTGTACTTTCATTTCCCACTTCTTAGACATAAAAGGGCAGAATCGCACATTAACGGTATATGCGGGTGGTACCTGTGCTAGCCACGGCATTTTTTTTTAAATAAATCGATATAAACGTACGTAGTGTCTCACATTTAAAATCAATTCTTTGCATTGTGTATCCGTATACGTGTACGTATACGTGTGCATATTCATTTTGTATGGGCTTTTATGTTTTAACAGCATGGGGCTCTTTCCAGTCTCAGTTTAGTGTCACGTTTCACATCCTAAATGGACTATATTGAATTACATTATTAGTCAACTTATCATGAGATAAGCTCGTACCATGGAAACTTCTCACAGTACATTTTTTTAAATGATTAATGATCGTGAAAACTATCTGGTATTTGCAGTAAAAAAGACACTAACCAATCAAAAATTGGAAATCGCCATCTTGAAGGATAATCCACCATTGTGGGAGTTCAATACTTTACGAAGTAATTGAGAGAGGGGATTATTTCTTGAGAATTTTCAGACATTCGCGTATTGGCATTTAAGGAAACTAGTACGGTCCTCAGGGGGTTCGTGTTTAAGGTTTGTGAAAACGACAAGTTTTGATCCCGATAAGAAAGTCAGTTTTTATTTGATGGCAGAAGAACTTAAATATGCGGCGCAGAAATGATAAAATGATGAGTAATATCAGAAGTGTGGTTTTTACAGTATTCAATAAATTTGATGTGAGGTGTAGTAGAGTTGTATCAAATAAAAAACTTCGCTGGTCCTCAACAACACAAGAACAACCCCCAACGCTTCGTTATTTTCAACATTTTTCCCGGAGTTTACAAATTTCAAGGCGATTTTAAGACAGTAGTCATTTAGTAACCTTCGATCCATCCGACATCTGATGAATCATACGTAGTTTACCATTGTACAGCAAAATGGCCGATCAAGCATCCGAATTGAGGAGTATTAGCCTAATGTTTTAATGTCGGGAATCGGCCTGTAGCTACTACAACAAAAAATGTCTTCCAACAAAATGCCCTCGAAGGGGGTACACATTGCGGGCTTCACTGTCAATTTACATTCACAGTGTTCGATTAATTAAATATCGGCCACACGAAACCGACAAATTGTCCATGAATGCATCCCACATGCACTCACATTTGAAATTTAAGCGTGAAATTACTTAACTGTCATGATTAATTACTCACTTTTTAGAAATCTGCTATATATGGAAAGTTTTGTATTTAGTCGGCACACTTGCTTCTCCGTTAGAAGATGTACTACGTCCTGAGTAGCCTACTGGCGGCATCGCTAGTGTTGGTTTGTAGCTCAAGTTCTCAAAATAATTTCACTTAAGGCATTGATTTCAGGGAACCTTTGGGCAAGCCAATTTTAATCGTAAGTACCACATCTTTGTTATGTAATTGCTTATACTTTTCATGTTTTCAGCAGTGCTGTCTGGTTATGGATATGTAGGGTAAACCTTAGACACCAGATCAAGTTTTTCATTAATTCTTTACAGAGTTACCTGCAGAATCTTGGTTGGCCAGATATCGTCAGTCGTCAGTCCTTGCCCATAGATTTCATTCAACAACACGTTGTAAGCAGTCCAATACAGATTTACCGACATCTGAGTCAATTTTGGCCGCATCAGGGTGACACTGAGAAACCAACCTCTGTAGAACCGCAGGAGCGCAGCACTCAGAATGACGATTATGAGAGATCTCGAAAAAAGTATCCGGAATCTTTTCCGCCCCCTATATACACGCATTCATACTATTAATGAAATCCAAGAATAATCGCCTTGATGACCGGCATTTCCGGTTTCAGTTAAACTCAACTCGTAGGTCACCTCTACTGGGGATGTAGTCATGCAACTTAATTACGTCCGATAAAATTAACGGTAAAACAAACAACCGGCCTCTAAGACCAGCTGCCATCAAGTAATATCTGCTTTTTGTTAAATAAGTGGAATAAAAGGGATATATTTCTTTGAATCGTTCATTCTGTTGTCGTTCGAGGTCGCGCGCACTACATACAAGACGCATTCAAATCACATTTGTGGACGCATTCTCGATTATTACTAGCAAAACGATACACTTGACAATTTTGTCGACCATTTTGGGATATACAGGCGCTGTGTTAAATTAAGTGAAGTTTTCTCTCGTTATTCTACTTGTAAGCTTCGCTGACGCTATTTGCGGATTTATCTTACCAGTTTTAAGGCCGTTTTGCGGTATGTAACAACGATTACACATTCACTTTTACTTGGAGTGATCATTTTTAGGTTTTTTTTCTTTACTTCTTGTTTTTGATTTACCACTTAGGTACTTCATTATTAACGAGCTCCTAGTGAGTTTATAATTTTGCGGTGTCTGTCCGTCTGTCTGTCCGTCCGTCCGTTAGCACGATACATCATAAACGAGTGGACCGATTACGATGAAATTTTGCAGGTGGATTCTTTATCAAATTTGTAGATCGGATTTCGTGAATTGGCAATGTAGGCCTAAAAATAAAGTAGGCCCTTTTGACATATCCGTTAGTTATGAACAGATTTGCATGAAATTAAAATGCGCATAGCTTTAGCCATATAAAACGCAATTCCAAAAATTGAGCCTAATCGATCAACATTCACAGTGCCCTTTTCGCATTCCGACCATTTATCAATGCATACTTTTTTATTTATGAAGGTATTTAAATGAAATTTGATACATAGCCACTTGGAATAAAACCAAATTTAACGCCAGTTTCAAAATTTGGTTTTGCGCATGCGCGGTGCCAACTTTCTTATTTATGGAAGCAATTAAATGAAATTTCATACATATACACTTTAAATAAAAGCAAAACTAACATCAGGTTTAAAATTTGGTTTTACACATGCTATAGCCATAGCCAGGAGCTCGTTTGCTATATTTGTTTAATTTATTACCTACTGGATTGTGCTTTCGACATCGATATTTCGGAGTGGAAAAGCTGAATTTACACTGAAGGTCCACCGCCATTTAGAGGTTTGAAAGACATGCGCAGATATTTCTACCTTATCGGCAGAACTACCCGTCATTTTAAGTGAAACCAAACAGCTGGACCCAATTACACGAAGTTCGTTGACCTACTTCATTTTGCCAACATTCACCTACTTCATCCTGTCTTGGGCCTTTTTAGTTACTGTGCTGGTCTGTAATTCTGACGATTTTCAACATTAGCAGTCTCTGGACGACGACCACCACCCAGCTCCAAAGATCAGAAGACACCGTTTGTAGCATCGCTTACGTCTCCCTATGTAATCGTTCCTTGTGCTATTATGTACTTCCCCTACCGTTTAAATTTCGTTCCTCCACTCCTCTCCACCCTATTTTCCCCTTATTCTCTACCTACCTTACGTCCCTTACCCTTAACATCGCCTGAGCACCCAGCAATTAATAAACAGCAAGTATACCGTAATTAAACAAATTGTTTGTATCGCCCCCTCTTGTGTCACCCCAATCATTCCCCTTACTTATATGCAAAAAACAAAAACAAAAAGGAAGGGTCTTAATATTAGTCATTATTACTGACTCTTGTAATTTATTGTGAGATCTCGCAAAGCAGTTAAAGTATATGAAGCAGTCTGACACAATATTTTTAATCGTTCATTGTTACCCGTTTATTTAATAGTTGATTGTTTCTACCTAGCCCTCATCCCTTTTTCCTCCTAAAAAAAACAAAGTAAACAGTTTGCCTGAGTCATAATTGTATATTTTATTTTAAGTCCCAAGCGAGATTAAACATTTTATGCTCCTCTTAATTTGTGTTTCTTATTTTTCCCCCTTCCTTTTTATAACCTTAGCTTCCTCGACCACCAGAGGACTATTTTCTGTTTTGGGCACGGCTCCCTAACAGGGAAACAAAAGTTAGTGGCGCCTAAAATTTTACCAGCCCTTACCAACCTAGTCTCTTTCCGTGAACAGCCGCAGCCGTGGTTAGTCCTTTTGTTTTAGGTTTATTTCATACCCCTTTACTCTGGGTCCTTGACCACGTTACAACTGTGAAATTCCATGGCTTGCAAAGAATACACGTAAAAATGGTAACGATTTATTTTCTCAGTTACGAAGCATGATTACTGTTTACGGTTTATTACTTGTTGGAAAACCCCCATAACTTGTGAACGATTTCATAGATGGTTTCATGTATGGATGGAATTTAACCACCCAATTTTGCCGCGCAGATTACCAGCACCTTGTTTTTTGATTGTCATTTCTTTTCCTTCGAAAGAACGCATGGAATTCTAATTGCCATCTTCTGAGGATTCGTATTTTTTCGTATTTTGGGAATTTTGATGTCGTCATGTAATTTCCATCGACAATTACTGCTTCATCTACGATTAGCCCTCTTATATAAGAGGTACGTAAATTTTATGTCATAAAGAAGGAGGATTGCCTTTGGATTTTTTTAAGGTTTAAGTTCAAGTTCCAGACACGTGACACACTAATTCTTGTTCGACGTACAAGTTTTGTAACCTTGGGTCAAATTTACCGTTACCTGCGGGCGCCGTTACCTGAAGTGCTAAAGTTTTTATTTTCTCTACCAGTGGCGTTCGTACGGCTTTGGCATTGAATATTTTTGGAGAAAAAATACTACGTTACTACTTTCTCTTAAAATAAAAATTATTTTTTAAATCCTCATCCATTTTTTAGCAAATTCTGGTTTTTCTGTGTCCGACGCATGGTTTTCGCTTATTTTTAGGAAATTGATCCTGAAGTAAAACGATTTTTATTTTCCTTCCTTAATCAACAACCCGGTTACAAAACATAAAAATCGAAGGTATCGCCTTTTCAATTGTAACCTACTGTTACACATGATTGTAGATAAAACATGAACGGTGCCAGTAAGTGTAACTCATAAGAAAAAGCAAAATTTTAATTTTTCGAACAATAGCAACTGTACCAGAACGTACAACTTGGAATTGATGGGTGGGGGGGGAGTTGCTAACAATAAATTACATTATACACAGACATGTTTGCGCAATATTAAATTTGGGTTCATACCAATTTATTATTATCTGTTTCTTTATTTATTTCTTTATTTATTTATTTATTTGGCCCTGTGCCCCTATATGCTGTCAACCAATTAAAGGCTGCTTTTGCAAGCTTAAATACAGCCTCAAGGAAACCCATGCGCATTAGAATATCCGATTCCAGTTGCCGTTGACTAAGCTCTACGGTAGAAGGGATCTGCCAAATTCGTGGACCCTGAAAAGAACAACTTAAAAATCTGTATTGTATCAAAGTCCGCCATACGTGTACGGCAACATCTGCTGAAAAAAAGAAAAATAGAAACGATTACTTTGCAGGAATCTCTTGCTTACGTGGTGAATTAGGTTTATTTTGGACATCCTGGCTGGAAACCAAAATCTTGGACGCTACCAATAGACTGCACAGTACGTAGTACATTGCCACAGACTTGCACATCGTGAACAAGTAAGTTGTGCGATGGTTTCATGTGCAATTTATAGGGATCAGTCTTCGAGGAGGAGTTTCACATGAAACATTTCACACTTAAATTTCGTAAAAAACAAACGCGTGACAAGATTTAATTAACATTTCGTAATAGTGTAATGGCGTTCTGTAAGTAATAATTCGGTGGCGTGGAACTAAGTATCTTTATAAAGTACACTTAAACGGGAAATTAAAATTGATCAATCCTGAGCGTTATCTTCACAAGCCAGGAAGTCGGTTTACTGCTACAAAAATTCCAAATGCCTCTACCATTGCTTTTTCTTAAAAAATGGATGATGCACGAAGAGGTCGTTGTGCAAGTATCGCCATCAAGTTTGCGCTACAGAACAGGAGTTGTGTCTTCGCTACAACAGTCGTCGGTGTTGCAATACGCAACAGTTTTAAGAGGGGGGTAGTGTAGAGAACATTTCAGAAATGTCGAATGTAACGTAATCTTTCCTAGAAAATTGACGTGTTTGCGCGAGACCATGATGAAGCGTCCTTGAGCGCTCCAGAAAACTCTAAAAAGATTCTAGAAAGAATGTTGTTTGCTATATAAGCAAATCGAATTATCTCGAGTTCAGTTCCAACTTCGATGCGCTTCAATTGTCACAAATTGTAAGTGATAAGGAATAATTACTCTTATAAATTAATCGATTTTAAGACTAACAAATTTATTGTTAATTAGTTGTAACAAATAAAACCGCGTAATTAAATTTACGTTACAGTAGTAATCTACTGGCGTAATAATTCGGTCGCGCGGAATTAAGCATCTTTACAAGGTGCACTTACACGGGAAATTAACATTGTTCAATCCTGGGCCATATTTGGCAATTATGATAACATTCTGTAACATAAATCCATTTACTGGGATGCTAATATTTTCGAGTGTAGTCCACATTTATCAGATGGGGTGGCCAAGAAAAAGTACCCTCACTGATTGGGTCGACAAAGTCAGGCAGGAGTGACGTGGGAATACGTTGTAGACAGAGGCCATGTATTAAGGGAGAGCGAGATCAGTGGAATGATCTCCAAACCTGTCAGGAAGAGAAGATTATGCCCATGAATGTCTGTTTACAGTTGAGGATTATTTGAAGAAAATCTTTCAGTGCCGCATCATATTCTTCCAATCTCTCCATGTGAGTCCGTGGGGGTTATCCTCAAGAAGAAATTTAATCAATTTAAAGGCCCTTTAAGACATCTTCTCAAGTGTGAAATTTTTTTCTTCGGTACTTCTTCGGTTGACTCAGCTGTGAATGGAACACCTAAAACCATAGATTTTTCAGGTGTCATAAGATGACTACCAAGAGTGATTTCGGAATTTCTCATTTTACTTTACCTCCGCATGAAATGGCCGTCGGCTCACAACTGCTATCATTCAGAGTAAGTTCCACTTCGCTAGGCATGTCTTTAATCTTCTTGAATTCCTCACGCACTGTGGATGGGTCACTTGACAAAGTTCCAACATCCAAATACGAAATGGTCAATGCTTGCTATAGACCCCTTTGAAAATACTTTATGAT